AGCGGCTGATTTTGTACAGTAGAGCATCGTTGCTTTTCCGGAAATTCAAGGGCCAGTGTAGACAGCTCGCAGCTTATTCCGGAAAAGCGGCTGATTTTCCGGAATAAGTGGCCCAGTGTAGACACAGCCCTCTAGTCATAGAAAATTCTGCTCCAGTAAAGGTTTAGATGGTAACCATTTCAATCTAGTGTCTCTGTTCAGTCTGTAATTTTTCATGACTAGTAAAATTATGACTTTAAACACTTGAAATTCTCTTTTTTGAAGATGTTGTGCAGGTTGTAACAGGTTCAGTCACAGAGATCCCCTTGAGACTGTCACTTGATGTGCTGAAATACCACTAGGTGTGTCTAGACTACACCTTTCTCTTGACAGAGAGATACAGATTAGGTACGTCGAAATTGCTAATGAAGCCAGGATTTAAATATCCTGCGACTCATTAGCATAAACATGGTCGCCACTTTTTCTAAACAAAGTTTTTTCGGAAAAAAAAACGCAAAAAAAACAGCAATCTAGACGCGGATCTGTCGAAAATAAAGCCTTTTTCAACAGATCCTGTAAACCTCAGTTTTTGGGGAATATAGGATTGGTCAAAAAAGGCTTTATTTTCGTCTAGACTGCTGGGGGTTTTTTCAGGATATTTAAATCCTGGCTTCATTAGCAATTTCAACGTGCATCCCTCTGTTGACAGATCGCTGTAATCAAACTTCTCCTCTCTCCTATTTACTGTACACTCCAAACTCCCCTCTTCTCTGTCCCCCTCCCATCCCAGCCATGAATTTACTCCCTCTCTTCCCTCCTTCCTCCTAATGTCCCATTCCCTACCATCACACTTAGGCTACGTCTACACTGGCCCCTTTTCCGAAAGGGGCGTGCTAATTTTACAGGTCGTACTAGGGAAATCCGCGGGGGATTTAAATATCCCCCGCGGCATTTAAATAAAAATGTCCACCACTTTGAATAAGTATACTTTGAAGTAGGAATAAGAGATCCTCCGGAAAAGGGCTTTTTTCCGGAGGATCGGGGTCAGTGTAGACGCTCTTTTCCGGCTTTTCTAAAAGCCAGTATACTTTGAAGTAGGAATAAGAGATCCTCCGGAAAAGGGCTTTTTTCCGGAGGATCGGGGCCAGTGTAGACGCTCTTTTCCGGCTTTTCTAAAAGCCGGAAAAAAGCGGCGGACATTTTTATTTAAATGCCGCGGGGGATATTTAAATCCCCCGCGGATTTCCCTATTACGACCTGTAAAATTAGCATGCCCCTTTCGGAAAAGGGGCCAGTGTAGACGTAGCCTTATTGACTTGAGCAGGGAGCTTTTGCTGCTGAAGGAGTGCCCCTCCCCAGCCAGGAAGCCTTCTGGGTAGCTCAATTAGCAGCTTTTGGGCAAAAACTTGCCAGCTGTCTACACTGGCCCCTTAAATTTGCACAAGAGCACTGACGTTCTAATGTAAGAATTCAGTGCTTCTTGCGCAAATACTTTGACGCTCCCGCTCAGGGATAAGCCCTCTTGCGCAAGAATACTTTAGCAAGAGGGTCAGTGTAGACAGGCACCTTAATTTTTTGCGCAAGAAAGCCCGATGGCTAAAATGGCCATCGGAGCTTTCTTGCGCCAAAGCGCGTCTATTCTGGGCACGGATGCTTTTGCGCAAAAGCACTTTCTCTTCTGCGGAAATACTTTTAACGGAAAAACTTTTCAGTTAAAAGTATTTCCGCAAAATCATGCCAGTCTAGACGCAGCCAATTACTTTAAGATCTGTCTCTTGAGTGGTAACAGCTCTCCTTCCCTGAGACTTTCACCCTCCTCAACAGCACAGAAGCTGCCTGACGGAGGGTATGTTTAAACAGCAGAGCTATTTCGGGAAACTGGAAGTATCCCGAAATAGCTATCCCGCTTTCTTTTGAATGTGCCCGCTATTTCGAAATAGCACGTCTGCTAATTCTAGACCCATCTCAGCATCCCTGTAACCCTTGTTCCATGAGAGTTAAGGGGATATCTTGAAATAGAAATGTTATATTGAAATTTGGCACTGTGTAGACGTGCTAAATTTTGAAATATGCTATTTTAATCAAAATAAGATAAGCACCCTAGGAATGTGACCATTTTACTGTGTCCTGGAAAGTCTCATCTATGTACCTCTCTGCCTCCTGTTCAGCCACCCTGGTCTCCAATTGCAGTACATAGTCCCTAAGGGCCAGGAGCTTCTTGCACAGAATGCACACATATTCACCTGCCCATAAGGCAGGTAATCATACATGCTACATTGGGCGCAATAAACCGGATAAATAAACCACACTCTGCTGACGGGCTTCTGCCTGCATTCTCTTTTTACTCCTAGAGCTTATAATTTTTAATGGTTATTATTTAAAATCAGGTGGTTTTGGTTTTAGTTTAAAGAGTGTTACATGTATCTAGTCCCTCTCAAACTCTGTCTCTAAACTCCCTAGTAAAGAGTGTTAACAGGGCTACTCCTCTGATACTTACAACCCACCTTTTGTTTCTTATCTTTTGACTGAAGTACCTGACAATGCTTTTGGTATTATCAAAAATGATCCTTAGTTTACTTTAATGGTGAGCCTTTTGTTATCTTAACCGCTCTGCCTCTATTTACAAACAAACTTCCTGCTGCAAAGGTTGTTCTGCACCCAGCTTTTTCAAATCATCACAATCATAAACAGGCAGTATTGCAGTTAACATTGCTGGAAACAAGCCTCCAGCCCTGAATATCCATGATGCCTGAGCACTTCCAGCCCACATAACTCACTTCCTATGGCAACACATGTGGAAACTGGTGGAGCAGAGCAGGCTAGGGTTAGCTGTTGGAGAGTGTGGGGGCAGCCTGGCACAAGCCACTTGTTAATCCCCCGGTCTGTGTCACATGGGGAAGGAGGTTGGGGGGGGCGGGAGAGGGGAAGGGTGGAGTGGACATTAAGAGGAACGGAATGGGGCTTAACGGATTGATGTCTGTGTCCCAGCCCTGCTTCCCCTAACACAAACAGCAATCAGAGGGGCAGCCAGGAGATTGGGGCTGGCTGCCAAAGTCCATAACACTACATATGCAATTTGGGGCAACTTGCTGCCACAAATTTAGTGGTGGCCCATGCAGCTGCATATTGGTAGTGACAGCCCCAGGTATATACCACATGTTGTGATAGGCATGTGATAGACCAGTGGTCCACAACACGGTGCATTTGTGTGCACCCGCCAAGTGCTCGGAGCTGGTCTGGCCCTGGGCACGTGGCGCATACATGGTGCCGGAGCTGGCCCCGGGCGCATGGCACACAGTGAGCGCCAGCCTCGGGAGCACCACGGATTGGCCGCCCGTGCTCTGGGCGTGCAGCGCATGGGGGGAGCGCCGGCCCCG